CCAGACTCTCAAAGACTGCCAAACGCTTGCGGATAAGAGTCTCGGACGTACAACAAAGAAAGCCCTCAAGCGAACCAGCAAAGAGGAGGTCTCTTTTAGCTAAGTTGTGGACTAAGTAAGGACGACGCGTGAAAGAACACTGCACAAACTTGTTCGCGAAGCTTCCTTGTTTATGTCGCTTGCCGCTGTGATCATCATTGTAGCGATCGCTCTCCCGATTATGGCACGAATCAGAGTAGAATCTTGCGATATAAGCCAGAACATAAGAAAAGATTCTACAAACCTTTCTCTCCGTCACCCTTCCAAACTTCAGATACTTCCGACATCGTGGCACCCAACCACCGTAAACGTTCTTTTAGCATAGCCTGGGTTGAGGTTCCTGATGTGGTTCCGCCGGTGAAATGACCTTACTGACTGTCCATGTCCATGCAGAATACGAGCTTACCTTGAACAAGTTGGACGAGAGGTAGATCGACTCCATGAACATGAACCAGCCGAAGAATATCGCAATGACCACCACGTGGGTCCGCCAGATAACGAGCATCACGAGCGTCACGAGGCACGTGGTGATGATCATTACGCACATCACAGCAATACCTGCAAGATCCAGATCACAAGAATTGTGAGAATATGTGCGATCGTGCAGAGTCGAGGCACCCGTTTGAGGAGCTTTGCTACGACTTTCTCTCTCCGTGACTTCTCTTCGTGTGGTCAAGTCAAGCGAACGCTCTGAGTTGGACAGTCGATGGATGCCGTCATACATGATCGTGTCTTGGCAAGGATGTAATGCCGGAGTATTAATTGCTGTTTCTGCAGCTTTTACAGAGCTACTGAAGGATCAAAAGTGCTCAGGGATCTTACGAAAAACTGACACGTCACACAAAAGGGACGCCTAATCCGTAGATGCCGGATGTGCACTCCAAAAATTGAATCCCTCAACAAACCAATGTTCCAAAAAGAACAGGCCAGGGAATAGCAGCGATGCCATCGGCTTTGCGGAACGGGCCTTTTGATACAGCCGTCGATCAGGAACATGTAGAACCGGCATTGACAACAGGCAAAACTCACCGAACGCGTGGCCCAAAGCGTCTCCGTTGAGAGGCATATCGGACGGCTGTGGCAACGAGAAGCCGAGCACGCAGGCGATGCCGAGAGTCATGAGCGCCCAGTTGACATTGGGGATGTAGATCTGGCCTTGCACCGTCTTGGACGTGTGGATGACCTTCATTTTGGGGAAGCACTGGAGCGACATGGATTGCGAGATGATGGAGAAGACGCCTGCATGAGATACGCACGGTTCACTAACTGCAGATCGTCTCGTTTCGTCAGGCACTGAAACTGATGCAGTCTGTAGGGCCCCAGTTTGCAAGATCGGTCCGGAGCAGTCAAATGGAGATCCGGATTTTGACTGCCCATCCGTCTAGTATGGTCGAGACCTTTCATTGTTCGGCTCGAGCTGTGAATTGGAGCACAGAAGCTCCCCAGAAAAGGATGCTTGATCCCAGAACCGTCGAGTAACTAGAGGCCTTGCCATCCCGAGCAGTTGAGACACAGTACTGTGACCCGATTCCATCAGAATGACCGCTTCTCGGTACGCACGTCTTTGCCTCCTTTATTGACATGACATGTTCCTAAAACGGCAAGGCATTTTTTTCCGTGATCCTATTGGCCGAAACCCTTACCGGGTTGACCGCATTGACCGACATCGAAACTTGAGCGAGTAGCCCCCTACTAACCCCAGCAGATCCACTGCTTCGAAAACGAGAAATAGTAACCGTATATCAAAACCCTTCATCGCAAAACTTCCAAGGGGGAGGACATCCTAGTTTCAGGCAGTCTGGTTGACCATGGGTTAGTCCCGTGGTGCAACAGGTCGCGTGCTTCCTAAGAGAAAATCCTGCATGACGTCATTCCCATCGTTCGCCGAAGCAATCTGAGTACCAGTCCCAACAGAAACTACTCCCGCTGATTCCTCACGACTCCGTTGGAAAAGAACACCGTGCCCGGGGTTTAAACCTTGGAGTTTCCAGATCCTGGAGTTCTGATACCTAGGGTTCTCGAAGGCAGGCTCACCAGAGGTAATGGCTTGGCTAGCCACCATAGTTGCCAGCGTAGCAAGAACAAAAGCGGGCCAGAACACGGGTTCTGGAATGGCTTTGAAGTACGCCTGGGGAGTGTCGCCCGGGTTTCGGGACAGGTACGCCCCTTGGCCGAGGTAGATCAGGAGGAGGCTGGGGTAGACCACCGTGAGCGTGCTTGCCTGAGACAGAACGAGTGAAAGTCAGCAATTCGCTTTGATGCGGTTTGATTGCCCTCCCAAGACATCAGCTCCGATGCAGGTCGTTGTGATTGATCCTGACAACCTCCTTTCCATCGAGAGTTTGTTTCTTTGAGCGTGAGGTTCCTGTTCTGGCGACGGAGCGACAACGCGTCGTCGCTCAATACTTCCAACAACGACTTGTTTCGCATTCTGATCAACACGACGGCATGAGCATACAGTAAGCGATGGAGACATTTTCAACGCGACCACCGATTTCAGGAGATCAGCGCAGCGGAAGGTGCAATGGGCCGAGCAGTGGAGGGGGACCGGAAAACAGTGGAGCGGGGGGAATGGATGAGGGCGAGAAGAAAGGCGGGGCTGGTGCAAATAGTAAAGACGAAGGCGGTGCGGGAGGGGCGGCAAAGGAAGAGGGTCCTAGAGGTGAAGAGGGGCAGCTTCTTGAGAGCGCCCTGAACAGTGCTCCGCTGACGTCGGCGCCGAGAGCTCTGCTGACATCAGCGCGGGGGGGATCTCATACTCATTTCCTCACCCTGATCGCTTGTACGTTGAAGTGTCCCAGGTCCGCGAAGAGGCCTTCCACGCCCGTGATGCAGAGGCAGATACCGCCCAAGCTGATCCACCCTTCCTTCTTGTTTCGAACAAGGTACATGATGCCGTGGTGTGGGGAGAACGCCTGCACCAATGAAACATGGGATATATCGTACCGATTTTAGGATTAAGCCAGGTTGAGATCGGTCAGTAACTGGGGAACGGGTGGGGTAAGTCCGGGGGTTAGTAGGGGTACGGGTGCGGAAAATGGTGGTTTGTGGCTTGGATACTAGTTTGATGCGTCCTCCCGGTTTGAATTATGTATCTTAACCTGGCTCAGCTCAACCTAGAACCGAGACTTATGAGTGAAAAGTGGTCACGTTGGATGCAGTTACCTTCCAACAATGACGTCTTGAGCGCAGTCGGTGGAATGTTCCTTTGCTCCGTCTACGGTTATAGAGCACTGCTCCCTATTCTCAAACGATTCCTCTTCAAACAGGTTCGCATGATCGCTAAGCTCAAGCATTGTCTCTGGGCGAAGCAAAGAATACCCTCTAAGCGGCTGCTAGGTGCTGGTGACTTGTTGGGAGAGAAAACGAAAAGAATATCCGAAAAAGAGGGGGGGACAAAAGGAAAAACGGCCCAAAGACGGGTGGCTTTGAAGAGAAGTCTGTAAAAGTACGGATCCTCGAAGTCTGTAGAAGTACGGACTGCTAGAAACTGCTTATAAGTAAAATAAATGCTTATGAATACCTATCTCAAAATTTTCCGCAAGACTGCTATGGAAGAGCACTCTAGCAGTTTTAGGGATCCTGAACCGTCTAGCCAGATTCCCGCCAAAATGAAATGCCAAGCGCGATGAGTCGGAAAGCAGTGCGTAAAACCCCAAATTCCTAGAATTCTTGAAACCCTCAACCCTCAACCTATAAATTTCAAGACCCTCAGACCATTAGACCCTACAAATCTATTTATGATACCTTGAAGATGGCAGGGTTCCACGTGTGGATGTTGTACATCCCGATGCCCGCGTTGAGGACGAAGAAGCTGATCAGGATCGGAGCGAAGATGAAGCTGATCCTGTTTGTGCCGAGTCTTTGGCACCCAAAGATGATGGCCATAATGATGCAAGTCGCGGCAATAACGGCGCCTGCAGCGGATTGTGCAATGCATCAGATAAGTCCCTCCGAAAGAGCTTCGCTTTTAGTGGGTAGTAAATCCTACTGATTGGAAGTTTAAAGGCTATATTTTGAGCTCGACGCCTTTTCGGTAGGAGGGCAAAGCTTTCTGGATTAAAAACGTCTGAACAAGGTTTTGTCAGGATTCCATTTATGCAATCCACAGGGGTAGTAGTCCTAGAGGCGGGAGGAGCGGTGTTCTGCATGATCCGGGGTTTGTTACATTCGTCGGTGCATGTAGCTCAATGCAAAGGGAACTGCTTCCTTACCCGCGTGGACTTCCAGTTTCTGAGAAAGGATGAATCTGTGGACCAAGTACTGCGCTCGTGCGAAAATCACATGAAAGCAGAGACTGCAAGCAGCAGATCACAAACCGCAAGAAGAAGTACGAAAATAGGAAGAAAACCACATGACGCTATTCACCGTTGGAATTTACGGTCGAGTCGTCCTCTGTTAAAAGCTCCTTCGAGCCTTGCAGGCCTGTCATATGAGATCATTATACGAACTCTTACGAGACCATACGAAAGCATTCATACGAGGTCAAGTACCGGATCCAGCTGTCATCTCTGAGAAGCTCCTTTCAGACTCGCAGCCCGTCATACGAAAGTACCATACAGGATCACAGGGGACCGTACGAAACCACTTATACGAGGTCACACGGGTCGAGCTGTCACCTCTGAAAAGCTCCTCTCTAAGACTTGCAGCCCGTCATACGCATACGGGATCGTACGAGACAATACGAGATCAATCATACGAGGTCGCTCACCGTTGGGAATGATGGCCGAGCCGTCCTCTCTGAGCAGCTCCTTCGGAACTTGCACTCCGTCAGACGAAGTCACCATACGGGATCGTACGAGACAATACGAGATCCATCATACGAGGTCGCTTACCGTTGGGAATGATGGCCGAGCCGTCCTCTCTGAGCAGCTCCTTCGGAACCTGCAGCCCGGTCATGGCGGACAGCACTGCGCAGGAAGCAGGACGAGCGTGTCTGGCGACGTAACGCATGAACCCTCCTCCACACTCAAGCGTTTCATAAAGTTATTGCACTCATTTCACCCCCCTCCCCCTTTTCGCGATCGAAAACCGGCCTCCTGAGATACATCAGCCGGCTGACCTTAGGCTGTGAGGATCTTCGATCGGATGACACGGAACCTGATGCCCCTCGGATCGGGCACTTCCGACCCGACCCGAGAACTTGAAAACTCTGAACGAACGGCCCACTCGATTCTGCTGAACTGTCTATGAATGTTGTCGCCGTCTTTCACCCTATCGCAGAGTTGGACGAAGTGACCCTAACCTCAGTCCGCCCAGAGAGCTGCCGTTATCGTATTTTGCAAAACACAAGTAAGTGCGCCGTGTCAACAAATACGGGCTCGTCAGAAAGCGTGTAGTTCTTAAGACCAGAAACGTTAGTTGAGCAGAGACACTCTCACGCTCTCGAACTATCGCAGAAGTTTAAGCGGCCAGGAAGCCCTCACCCGTCACGGCTGGCGTCAGCACGCCGTCACCCACGAGCGCGCACGTCCCGCACAGGACGAAGACCAGCAGCATCTTCTGCAGGGCCGGGCTCTTTTCGAGGGCCTTGCCGACGGCGCGCCCGGGGTGGCTCCGCTTCTTCTTGGGGCGTTTCGGGTCCTGGTGGTACACGGACAGGGCCTTGTCGGAGTCGTGTTTGAGGCCGAAGATGGTGATCTTGGTGTAGCGGCACAGCAGGGAGTAGATGGCGAACGTCCCGCCTGCAGGGCGGAATTCCGGTCGGTCATTCCGGTCGAATTTATCTTGGTTTGCCACCTTTTATTCACGCTTCTCTGCAAGAACTTGTTGTGCTCGAGGCCGAAGATGGTGACCTTGGTGTAGCGGCACAGCAGGGAGTAGATGGCGAACGTCCCGCCTGCAGGGGCGGAATTCCGGTCTGTCAATCCGGGCGGAATTTGGTGGGGCATTCCGCCGTGACATTCACGCTCCTTTGTAAGGGAAAGTCACGCTTGAGGTCGAGGATGGTGATCTTAGTGCAGCGGCACTGCAGGAAGATGTTGGTGGACGTTTCAGCTGCAGGGCGGAATTCCGGTCTGCCATTCGGTAAAATTCCGGCGGTGTTCACTCCCGGCTCTTGTACGGGCAGTTGCATCATCGGGGGGCACTATGGGCGGCAAAGTCCGAAAAGTAGGGCCGCTTTGATCCAGATTATCAAAGAATCAGCAGCACCGCTAAGGCGTAATAGGATACCATTGAGCACATCAGTCAAGCTTGTAGAATACTTTGTCTGACAAGCCTCAGAAGGGGTAGTACAGTGAGCACACATCCTCCCATGTCGTTGGCGGGGAGAAGAACGCCAACGCACTTAGAGATCATCAAGCTGATTGATTGCCAGAAGGGGTAGGAATTCCAATGAGCGTACTTATCATTGGCGAGATGAACAAACAACGACGTACTCAAAGATCGCTAAGCTGATAAGCTTCCAAAAGGGGTAGGAAGGACAGTGAGCGTACCTTCTCCCATGTCATTGGCGGGAAGAACGACGACGACGTACTTGAAGATTATCAAGCTGAGAGTCCAGAGGACCAGGCTCAGGGCGCCAATGATGTCCTCCTCTGTGGCAGTCTTCGTGAAGCACGTCTAGAGAGAAGAGAGGAAAATGGCGTCAACTTTTTGATGTCGCGATGCCATTCGATCTGCAAGCGCAGTGTTTAGAGAAGCACAGGCTGGCTGCAGGGAGCTGCTGCCCTCTGCGAAGTGGTGATACAGAAGTCCTGCATTCACAGGCCAGCTTACGCAATCCCTGATCAAAGAATTCATTAGTCTCCCAGAAAGAAAATGTGAATAGTTAACATGACGGCCAGTAGCTCTTACCTGCCACAAGTACATCGGGCTTGTGCCTGCAAACAAAAGAACGTGGTCGTCAGAGCTCAATGCTTGGAGCGGCAAGGTCATGTCAGCAGGGGAACAAATTTTCAAGTGTTCCATGTGAGGGGTACAGCACCGAAACAAGGAAGGTCAGCTGAGCAAGACTGAAAAGCATCCCTGTAGCTGAAATCCTTCAATCAAGCGAAGAGTTCCAACAGAACATGCTGCAACCGCTCAAGATTACAGCCGCAACAAAAAGGACTGTACTTCTTGGTGCCCTGCAGTTCAAAGTTCGAGTCCACAATCCATTCTTTATAATAAAGAGCAAAGCCCGGGAGTGCGGGCCTTGTCAGGACCATTGGAGGAAAGACCACCTACCGAGATCGCCGTACACAATGCCGATGCTCTTGTAAGCAAGGCCCGCAAACACCAACCATGAGGACGATGACTGCAAGGACAAGAAAACATCAGGACGATGAGTGCAAGGGCAAACGTCATCATTGAGCACAAACTCAGCCTGGTTTAGCCTAAGTTAAGGTTTACCTTGGTGCCCCTTAACCAGATGATAAACGCTTGGTTTGACGCCCTTTGACCAACCAATTGAGGCTGAATTGTGTCTGTGGCTTGTGAGGGTTGTGCAAACGGTGTCAGGCAGAACGTTTGGCTCTGCACACTCGGTCTTGGTTGGAGTTCCATAAAATATGTTCAAGCGACACTCAGTGCAAGGATCCTCTTGCCGTGAGCTCTTTGGAACCAATAGCTTGGTATAAGATTGACAAGTCAGCAGCATTCTGTCAAGCAATCTCAGAACTTGCTCCAAGAGAACTTCCTTGCCTTAGGAATCAGGTCTTGTGAACAGTGAGTATCCCCATCTTAAATTTGCACAGATTGCTGAACAAGCGCTTGGACCATGCCACATTCGGCAGTCAACCGGTGGTGCAATGCTACAATGTGTAGGCAAGCGTGCAGCCGATCGGTCTCACTTCTGTAACTCTTTTCGTTTTTCTCTGCTTTCCTATCGCATGGTCGTCTTAAATACACCTTGCTTTACAAGCAAAAAGGACACAACACCAGCCAGACACTGCCGGGTTGCTCTCCAGTTGCTCTCCCCTACAGCCTTGAACAGCCAGCATTCCTGACAAACTCTACTATTGTTACCCACTCATCAATCCCAAATTTTCAGCTCAGGTTGCCGCCAACTTGGAAATCCCGTTCAGCTTAAGAACTTCAATCACCTTACCTTTGACCTGTGGCTATCTAGGGCGTCGGCAAGATCCCTGTCGTGCAGCCAATCATCATCTGAGATGGCAGCCACCCGATTGTGCAGATTGGACGGCAGCCTGGACGCAGGATCCAGACTGGAAGGGGGAGCCCATTCATGGTCTGCAGCAGGCGCCTCTAGCACATCCATTCGGGTGCTTTCTTCCAGAGGCCTTTCTGCTTCCGTCTGAGGCCCATCCTCTCTCACTACAGTCCCCTCTGGCCCTTCAACCCCGCTCCAGGGCTCTTCCATGGGGGCATCTTCGAAAATGGGGTTCTGCTGAACCTCCATTCTTCTCGCCTTGGTGGGGTTCCTTCAAAGGACTGCAATTGAGGCTAACCCTAATCGTCTTTGTCACCAGACTCTAAATGCAACAGCCAGGGCAACCTAGGCCCGACCTCAAAGACCAAACGGTCTACAAGCAAGAGATGCAAAGTGCCACCCTAGGGACAACAATGCTATGCCGGTGTGCAATGGGGGCCAACTCGATTGGTTGTTGCATGCACCATTCCGGCAGCGCTACGGGCGCTTGCTCGAGTATACAACCTCGTCTCGCTCTGGTCTGGCGTCTACCCAGAGAAACTAATAAAA